CCCGCCCCCCCCCCCCCCCCCCCCCCCGGGGGGGGGGGGGGGAGGGGCTACGGTTGAGGGAAAAGGAAAGCGTGTCCGGTCTCGTCTCAACGCGAGGATGATGACTCATGAGCATCACTCCATGCCGAACCCCCTCTGAAACCATTCAAGTGCGACCGGCAAGATATATTGCATAATAGGCGCCCTGAGGTTGCTTGCCCCTTTGAGTGAACTGGACGTAAAAGCATGCAACTGCAAAAATATAAGTAAGTGAGTTGTGACTGGATCGAGTACTCTGACATCTGCAAGTACAGGTATAGCACATGCCAGATGGAGAAGCAGGTGCGCGAGGTCGCCAAGTGTTGATGTCTATTGTGATGCATCGTCCCACAGATCAAACATCTTACACTGTTGAACATCATAATAACCATATTGCTAATGAGAGAGCAGCGCCCCATGTTCCTAAGCCTACTTGCGACGATGGAGTCATCGCTAGTAATTATCATCTGATACTTACACCATCGGCGGCATAAAGAAATCTGTTCGCAAACAACAGAGTCCTAGCCGACCTTTGGGCTGCAATAATTCGGTATCATGCTTGCTAAGCCAACGGGATACGTCCTTGGAGTTTTGACCGGGACACTTAATGCACGCTGTATCGTACAGTGCAAATACATATATCGAGAAAGGGAGAAAAGGCAAAACGTGGCTAGTGGGAAAGACGGAAGCTAGCCGGCGATCTGAGAAGATCGCCAGATCTACATCGCAACTCTCCAGGGATAGTTCGGGATTACTTCAATTTACATAGTCCAATCACAAGCCCGTGATTCCGGAACAAAGTTTCCATATTTCAGTCGATTTTAATAGAAGTAACCCCAGCAATTAATGTTAAGGCCTGATGTTAGGCAGCATTCCGGGAAACTGCGGTAAAGGGCTGGCTCCGTATGGGAGAGGGGCTCCGCGTGGAAGACAGAACAAGGCTGATTCCTCAACGTACTATAGGTATAAGAAATAAATTGTTAACTATTCTTGCTCTCCTTATTTAATCTTTCCAGCCTCTGGTTGCCTGGTCCAGGACTCTGCTCGCTTCGCGGCTGCAGAGCTGGACGAGAACAGCGGCAGTGGCTCAGACCACATCGAAAAGATCGGGCGTGCCAACACTGTAGAAGAGGCAGTCGAGGCCGTCGGAGTCGCGGTGCTGGACGAGCTGAGCAAGTTGATTATCACGCCGGTGGACCGGATCCTGCTTCACCGGATGCTCGACTCGTACGGGGTCGACTCGTTGGTGGTGGTTGAACTTCGCAACTGGGTCGTGGCGATGCTGGCTGCTGACGTCTCGATCCTCGTCATTCGTGAGTCCAGGAGCATTGATAATCTGATCCAGTTGGTCGCGAGTAAATCGAGATTGGTCCCAGTCAAGCTCCAAGAAGCCGTGTCGAAGCTGGGTTGAAACACCATAACTATGGATAAAGTTTATATAGTATTTTGCTTGTGTTGCACGGCACCAGTAGTTTGGACTTACTTTCAGATAGACAGTTTGTTTCCTATACTGAGTTCGTTTATCAGTGATCTCCTGCTTCTCCTCTTTTCTTTCGTCAAGTGTACCTAAGTATGTCTGCAAATTCTTATTGACATTCCAAGCACACAGTAGCTGCGGAATTTAAAGGTAGGGAGGGTGTGGGCTGCGAGTTTCATTGATGAGCGTCTCTATCTTAAGAAGGAGTATGAAATAAGTAATCTTGCCATATCTCGTTGTGAACGACGCAAAAACTACAAGAACAACGCTGGTAGATTATAGCGACCATGACACATAAAATCAGCATTTCCGAAGCGCACCCGTGCTCAATGCGACCCCTGAGCTGTGTCGGAATTATTACCTGTCTTCTTTACTAGAATCACCCCGATAGAACTGATCCGACAGTCCTCCTGAAATAACCCAAAATATCTGTAACGACCGTCAAGGCAGGCACCTGTTGGTGTTTGGCGCGTGACCCAGAAAAGTAAATATTGTGACTGTCTGGCCCAGCCGAATATGACATATTAGCAGAAGCATCAACAACTGCAAACAAGTCTTCTCAACTCGGTGGCGCATTCCTGGTTCTGATATTCATGAGGAACTGATCCGTTTCGGGTTGTTGAACAAGGACGTGACAGCCGGGATTGCGGTAACCATGAACAGCAGCCATTCGAACGCACCAAAAGCCGTCGCCACCTTGAGCTCCGCGCACGAATTTTGTCCGGAAGAGCAGGCATCGGTCGTCGAAACGTTGACAGCCACGGCAATGAAGCCGGCGATCCACGAGAGGACAGCCACGGCCTCGGCGACGATACCAACGTATCTAATCATCGGGCGACTTGCGAGACCGGGCTCGACGAAGTGCCAGACGACGACCAGGACCGTCCAGGCGGCACAGAACATCAGGAAGCTCCATGCAGCAGGGACACCCACATGAAGGGTGGCGTCACCGTCAAAGACGGGCGACTCAACGTGGTCATCGTGGCCACGAAACACGTGAATCGCTATCGGGGTCAGTACTCTTGAGGCTTCGAGGGTGGGTTCGCGGTGCGTACCGTAGGCGTCTGTTCCAATGACGATGGGGGCGAAGAGCAGCTGCAGCCCTCGCACGATGTAGTCGAGGGCTTTGTTCTCGGCCATGTCTGATGTATAGGGATCAATTGGTGTGGTAGGGAAGTGGTGGCCAGGTAATAAAGAAGTGAGGAGAAAAGAAAGTGGAAAACAAAATGAGCAACAGAATCGCTCATCCCAAAAAGACCGGTAAATAATGGAAACAAAGAAAAGGTGAGTTATCCACAACCTGTGGGCACGGCTGGCGCCTGGCGCCATATATTCTCTAGGTAGATTTTTACTTTTATTCCATTTTGAGATGCATCGCCAAGCGGTCAAAAGAACCTGAACGTCCACGCTATGACTATAAGAATAAAACACTCGTGTAAGTCCCCCTGCGGGGAGCGGGAGCGATTGGATCTCATCGGTTTCACTAAAACAGGGATCATATCGACTTACGTGGCCCTGCCCTGTAAATAATAAACGGAAATTTCGCAAAGCGGAATAGTCTATGAACATAATTATAAATGTAACTGGTCAATTTCAATCCACGGCGAATTACGTAGGACCTATCTTACTAGTACATACAACCATTGCAAAGCAGATAACCCTCATGCCCTATTTAGCGAGCGCCTCCGAAGATCCGCCTAGGCAACCTTCATGTTTGCTTTTCTCTGTAGATGATCTTCACACCACCGACTTTCCTTCCTACTTTGCCATCGGTCCCGCCCGAAGAGCCGGTCGGGGATTTATGCCTGGCAAAACATCTTGCCAGGACCATCGGATCGGACCCAGCTGACAAGCGAGCCCCCTTCGTCGAGGCAATGATGGATCGGGCATGGACCCCGGACGAAATCAGTGCTCGCGTCGCTCAGGTAGCGGCCGCCTTGTGCTCGTCGTGGCAGCTTGTGCCCGGGCAAAAGTAGCATAAAATTGTCGCCATCTTGGCTTCCAACAGCGTAGGTCTCCTCGACAGCTCCTCATCGTGACGCCAATCTGAGTGGCCTCTAGGTCGACACTCTGATTCTTTCATGGGCTATCCACCGCATGGGCGGCGCTTGCTTCATGATGCAGCCTACGAGCTCGGCTGAGGAAATCGCAGGCCACTTCGATCGTGTGCCGCTGTTCGCTATGTTTGCCTCACGAGAGCTACTCCTCTAGCCCAAGAAGCCGTTCAACTGAGCTCCCTATCAGACCTGCCACTCTACAGGCTGTCCGTACCAGGAGGAGCGACCGACCTGTCCAGAATCATGACTCTTGATGACCTGATCGCAGCCGCTAAGGATCTACCTCCGGTGCAGAAGGGTCCTTTGTCTGTCAACGAAGCGACTCGACGTGTGGCGTACTAGTGTACCACGAGCGGCACATCTGGTTTCCAGGTAGCTAATACCACACGACTCCACATGTCTTGTGATACTGATCAGACATCTTTTTGTTGTGGCTCGGTAGCGCATCGTGGCCATCACGCACAAAAACCTCATCGCCAGCATCCTGCAGGCTTCAGAGTCTCTAGAGACCACCAGAGAAGCAGGCTCCGAGATAGCTCTGGGTTGCCTGCCGTTCCGCCACATCTCTGGTCTTTGGACAGCTCATCTGCTGATGTATCTTGGCGACAGCGTCATTATGGCTTTAACTTTATGGACATCATGGCCTCTATCGCCAAATACCGCATCAATACACTTTATTTGGTAGCTCCTAGTCCGGCTCACAGGGATATCTGGAACGCAAGCCGATGGGTGTAGGTGCCGCCGATTATCAACGCTCTGTCGCAAAATGGATCTACGTTGGCTCAATTCGGCTTGAGCTCCGTTCGCTTGATCGTGTCGGGAGGCGGACCTCTGAGTAAAGAAGCATTTGCCAAGATGCAAGCCGTGTGTGCCCCCAGGTGCGAATTCTCAGCGGTTGGGGTAGGATTCTCCTGAGGGCGTAGTTTGAGCAATGATCTGACAATCAGTCAGATCTGACCGAAACCTGCGGTGTCGGGTCCCTGTCATATATCAACGACATCTTCCCGGGCTCGAGTGGGGTCTTGCTTCCGGGCGGCCGCATCCGATTGAGAGACGATAACGGCAGTGAGATTGAGACTCTCGAGGAAATGGGCGAAATCGAGATTGCCTCTCCCAGCCTCGTGCGCGGGTACATTGACTCTGCCAGCGATGCGCTTCTCCCGCCTACAGACAATGCGGACTTCTGGTGGCCAACAGGCGACGTCGGCCTCTTCCGCGCGGCCCCCAGCGGCGAGAACCATCTGTTCATTGTAGATCGCATCCGGGACATGGTCAAGGTCAAGGTGAGTGGGCGGCCCAAGACCAGGTGTGGTGTGAATTCCGCATCCTGGCCAACCTTTTACTTTAGCACTGCCAACCTTTTTATAGGGCAATCAAGTCGCCCCTGGCCAAATCGAGGCGCATCTGATCTAACACGCCGCCGTTGCCGAGACCGCCGTCATCGGAATCCCTGACGAAGTAGCTGGTGAGCGAGCTCTGGCCTTCGTGGTCCGGGAGCCGTCGTATGCACCTGAGACGAGCGAGGCCGATCTTCGAAGGGAAATCCGGGATTGCAACGACCTGGAACTGCCTGAGGTTTGCCATCTCCAGGACCGAATCATCTTCATCGATCAGATACCGAAAAGTGCGAGCGGCAATATGCTTAAGCGAGCACTGAGGAAGCAGCTGTCTTCGCCTGGCTTCCCCAGTCCCCTTCTCTCAACTTGATAAGTGAGAGCGTCTACGGCAGCGTAGGCATACATGTTAGATTACAGTGCTTTCTTCAGCGACATTATCCGGCCTCAACAGCGTTAGAAGACAAGTCGAAGCCAAAAGTTCGATATTTAGTCAAGTATAGTATGCAACTCTCCGCTGGATCTGCTCCCTTAATAGTTCCCCCAGCACGTCATCATCTCTCACAACCACCTATGTATACGATTGCGATATTACAAAGATGACTAGTAGAGAAAAAGAGAGGCCAGGTCATGTTAAGCTTGAGTTAGTTTAGGTCATTTGTTTATATAAAAAAATCTATCTGTACCAATGTTCGTGTTCTTCTTGCATGCTCAACTTCAATGCTTTCTGCAAGTCCTCATCGTTCTCATCGTCCTCATCCTCTATCGCTGTTTCACGACCCTTACCTTTGTTTTGGTGTTGCACTTCCAACAGACTCTGCTTCTTGATGTACTCTATCACAATCTCTTCTTCCGTCTTCTCCTGTGGCGTTTTCTCGTCACGCAGACCCCGATCTGTCTGGTGAACGTGCCGTGGGGACTGGAGTCTAGACACGAGTTCCATATCGTCGTCATCATGTGCTGCGTCTCCATTTGACGTGGCTTCAGCCGCATCCCACGATCTTGTGTTGGTAGAATACAGAGATGACTGTGAACCACCACCCATGTCGAGCGTGGCCCTGGTGAGATCTTGGGTCCAAGTATCTGCTGCATCTCCGCTCGACGTGGCTTCAGCCGCTTCCCACGATCTTGTGTTCGCACTATGCAGAGGTGACTGTGAGCCACCACCCATGTCGAGCGTGGTTCTGGTGGGATCTTGGGTCCAAGCATCTGCACTGCTGCCCGAATTCGTCTGTTGCTGTACTTCCTGGGGTTCTCGCGTTACCTCGCTAGAGATCTCCTTTTCCTTTTCTTTTTCCTTTTCTTTCAGATCCTTCTGGATCAGCTTCCACCTAGCGATGACGTCTTGCTTTTCTGCTTCGGAGCTTTGCAGCCACTCCTCATAACCCTGAGCTGCCCTAGACGCGATGATATAGCTCTGCACATCACTGCCGAACAACTTCTGCACCTCTTTGTTGACCCCCTGCATCGTATGCCCCAGGATGCCGAAAAACGCTGCGCCTGGCTTGGCGATAAATCCCCCGAGTCCTTTGCCAATTCCTTTCGCAAAGCCGCTGGCACCCCCTTTCCGGGCGCCTTTCCAGGGCTGGGTGACCAGGCCAGTGACGCCATCGTACCAGCCATAGCCAAACTCTCTTCCTACTGCCTTGACGCCTGACTTGAAACCGCTAACCTTTTCTTGAGGGCGTACGGTATCGTCTCCCCAAAGCCTAGGCATGTTGTGAAAGCCTCTCGTCCAATTCACTGAAATATCCACGGGTCCTTGCACAGCCGCCCTGGCGAAACGCCCGGCGCCTTTGCTCACATGCACGCCAGTCGGACGGAGGATGTCGGGTTGTTTGCCGGCGTCAGATTCAGTCCGACTGCGGGATGGACCTCGGCCAGGATCATCTTGTCTGGGCACGTTCGAAGGTCGAGTTGACCGACCAGAGAGGCTGGAAGGGTTCCGAGCAAGAGTGGGAGAAGAGTTCTCTCTGACAAAGCTCCGCCTGGTACTTCGTCTAGATGGAATCGACGAATCCGATCTTTCCACGACAGGCGGGACCTCACTTCTGCTCACAGTCGCCGTCGTCGATGCGGATGCCGATGCCGAAGACGATGCTTGGGACTGCTGTCGGCTCCGCGCAGCCGGCATCTGTAAAGCTCTCCACGTCTCCGAAGGAACACTAGCTAGCCCCATTGTCATGCCGCTGAAAGCCCTCACAAATGCTGTAAAGCCTCCGGAGATTGGATCCCAGGGACCCTCGTCGGTGTAATGTTCTTGTGGTCTGAAGAACTTCAAGTCATCGAGATCCAACAGCTCTGCATTCGCCAAAGTACAGGCAGCAAAAGCACTCAACCTGACCTTGGTGCGCCTGACGCGCCACGCAGCAGGTCGGGATGGTGCGAGAGTGCAGCGGAGCCGGTCAGGGTTGAGGAACGCATGGAACGACTGAGCACCAGTGTCGCTGCCTCGCTCTGCCGCGATCTTGCTTGCGAGTTCTCTGGCGCGCTCCAGGCATCTAGGGGTTAGACAGAAGTTGATGGCCTCGGCTAGGTTGTCTGCCGTGAGTTGTTTGTGGGGGATCGGATCGGGGCCTGCGCCTGCTCGCGCGATCATGGCGCCCCAGAAAGGCTGGTCTCCAAAGAAGGGAACGACCACAGTCGGCCGGCCTGCGGCGATGCCTGCCGCCGTGGTTCCGGCGCCACCGTGGTGCACGACGCACGAGACATGGTGGAAGAGCCAGTCGTGCGGTACGTTATCCAGCATGAAGACGCCGTCGGGGATACGAAGCTGATCGGCGCCCATACCTCCCCAGCCTTTTGAAAGGAGCACACGTTGGCCAGTCTTCCTTGCGGCAGCGAAAATGAGTTCCGTCAGCGTGTCGGGGTCGTCCAACACGATGCTCCCAAATCCCAAGTAGATGGGAGGTGGACCGGCGTTGAGAAATGCTTGTAAGTCAGGGGCAGGTGTGTAATCAGAGGCCATGTCAAGAAAGTAGAATCCGGCGATGCATATGTGAGAACCCCAGTCGTTCGGTTTGGGTATCAGGGCTGGAGACCAGCAGTAGGTGTGGGGGATTCTCAGACGATGAAGCATCCCGGGGGCCCAGATGGTACTTACGGGATCCAAATCGAGACACTTTACACGAAATCGATTGATGATATCACCGAGGCCCTGCCATGAGAGTAGTTCGATCAGGGCATAGCTGATGTAATTGGTAAGTTGAGGGTCGGCATTCGAGGCTTGAACGTTGGCCAGGGGATGAGGAAAGGCCTGGGTAGGGGAATATGGCATAGTGAACATGATATGGAGCGGGATGCCGAGCTTCTCTGCGCAATGGATATGGGCAAAACTCGGGGGGTTGGCGATGATACAATCGGCAACAAAGTGGTTCGCTGAGCCAGAATCGCTTCCTGAAGAGGACTCCGAAAGATTATCATCATCAGTTCCATCATCGGCTCTGTAACAGGACCGCCAGCAGCCCTGAATATATTCGGCAACATGTTTTCTTTGCTGGCCGACATTTCCGCTCAGCACGCCACGAAAGCCCGGCCTCAAGCCGGGATTCTTGACCATGAAGGCCATCAACCGGGTCGGGTCGCCGCCAATGCTGAAGAATTCCAGGCCATGCTGCTGAACAAAGTCCTGGAAGGTGGGGTGAGTGGCCAGACGGACACGATGGCCGTAGACGTCTTTCAAGACCTTTCCCAAGGCAACGAAGGGTTGTACATCTCCGCGAGAGCCCACGACCTGGATGACTATGTTCAAGGGCGGAGGGGGATGGACTGACGGGTCACCTCGCAGGGAAGGAGGAATGTATGGGGGAGGGAGCGGACGACTGTCTTCGACATGTAGAGGGGGGGCAATAAGCCGGGACAGTTGGCGACTGAAGTGATTGATGCGAATGGCGACACGGCCATCGTCGGTGAGCTGGGCACTGGTCCCCGTGCCATTCTTTTCATCGTGGATCTCGCCATAATGTTCGCCGTAGGCAGGGGGAGGCATGTCGTCCTCAGCCAGCTCTTGATCGTCGAGGCCGATCTGTGTTGAGGGCACCCGAGTGGATTGTTCCAGCGCGGTGCCCTCTAGAGCTTGCGCTACCATGATGTGAATGATGAATGAGACCAGGCTGGCTGGCTCACCTCGTTAATCACAGCTTCAGTTCTGTCTAAAGAATGACGCGGCAACTGCACTATACAGACTGAGGACCTCGGGAAATTGAAGCGAAGACGGGGGGGCTAATATCAGGATTCAGGATGGAGGCCTAGTGAATAATGGAGAAGGTAGAAGGCAGCAACAATGCACGAGGCAGTGAGGCAGTGAGGCACACTGCAGTGAGGGGCGCGTGCATCTCAAAATACTGTTTCGCATATGAATCTGACCGTCAATAACTTGCTTTAAAGGGTGTTGTGTTGGCTCGCGTCCCCGCTTTACAGACATCACAATTACACTAATGTACTCCAATATGTTTTTTGTTGGGCAGAGGACAGATCGATCTGATGGGGGCGGATTCGGACACCTCCGTAAATTCAATACACACTGGTGCATCAGGGTCGATCTTCGCAGCGTCTTAGCGTTCGCGTCCCTCAAAATAATCCCTGTTAAGTAAAACATACAATTGTGTTCAACATACCTCCGTATATTAAGTTACTAACTAATCCGCTGGTAGATCCCGTGCTAACGCTACTGTAAGTTGCTGTCTACGAGTACTACGTAGTAGTGCTACTAGTACTACTAGTATTAGTATTAGGCGCTAAGATTAGTATTTTTAAATAGCCAATCAGAGCGCTCTATTTGGCTGGGTTATTTACCTGCTACTGCACGAGTAAAGCACGACAGGGGCACCCGATGGAAAATTGGGAATTGTTGATTCACAGCGGGGTTCTCTTAAGTAATGGATATTTCAGGCCAGGCTTTTTCACATCAAAAGCTTTTCACTGCCAGCATTAACAGTAATACGCCCAGTTATTGATCAATTCATCAATTCATCAATGCCATGAGGGTGCCATGCCCCGGCCAACAGACACGTACACACATGATCAGGTATTATTACACGCAGCTCGCAAGCTCGCTGGTCTTGATATACAGTTGTTACAGTGGTTGAGTGATTCCGCAGTTCGAGAAAATCGATAGTCCAACTATAGGTGGGACCGTCCGGTGTCTAAAACCTCTGTGCCAAGAAGCCAAATAGAGCCTTGCCCACTTCATCCGGCTTCTCCATTGGGGACCAATGTCCGCAATCAATAACCTTGACTGCGAGATCTTGCAGCAGGCCGGACTGCTTGGGCTGCTCAATCAGTGCTGGTAAACATACCTTATCGCTGGAGCATCCTAAGAAAAACGCAGGAACGGTAACCTGCGCGCGCTCCGCTGGTAACGCTTTCTCAACA